TAAGAAGATAAACCACTACAGTTGAATAATTATCATTGAACTCATTATAGAATATCACATGATACGATACAAATAAAAGAATAAAAGAGGAAGACATAGAGTACAAGAATAAAACTTCTAACAATTTAGATAAACTCAATAAGTTTAAGAGCAATTTTTTTTCACTGTGTATATACTATGAAAAAGCAAATATTTATGAATGATATAATTATAAGCGATCAAAATGAAATACAAATAATACAATTTAGTAGAAAAATTTAAATAACTGAAGTAAAATGAGTTGCAGGAATGATTCATGATTTAAAATATGTTTAATGTAGTTATCATCGAGACTTCAATTGTACACAAATGAGGTTAAAAGGAAGATGATAATAAATTCCTTTATTTTAGTCGTTTTAAACATATCAGGCCTCGATGTAGGCATATTTTTTCACATTAAATTGATATCAATCGTACAAGAAAGTACAGTCGTGATAAATTTACGCGATAGGAGTTAGACGCAAAGGTTAGAAATAAAAAATAAATTTGACAGTACACGACTGGACTGTCAAATGTAGCACACTCGGTCACATACCTTGATCCTGATTGAAACCAGCGTAAAGCAAACCGTTCCCGTGAGGATTCCCTGTGGTCAAGTTCATCGTAAATCACTTTAATCGCAACATTCGCACAAACGATCGTTTGGTCGTGCAATTCTATCACATCCTCGCCGGCAAGCACATGAGATGCTTTTCGTAATTACGAAGTTCCGTCACCATCATCGAGTCTTTACGCATGCGTACTGATCAGCTGATATGTGCTTTGCTGGAGTCTTAGTTTGTATGTAACTATACGCAAAGGATTATATTTAATCGTATTAAGTGTCGCGATTTTATTTAAACGATGTTTAATTTCCATTAATTATTCTTTATGCAGTAGATGACCGAGTAGTATAAAGAATTACAAAAAAGTAAGAATTACGATTCATTTGTGTACATGAATCTTGAAGCTCTCTTTCAGCGTTACTTCAGTTAGGTTATATCATGAAGTGTTTCTTTAGAAATCTTCTGATCACAAACAATTTACACACTTGCACTGTATTATTTCGAGAAGTGCCACGAAATTTGAAAGGGAAGAAGCATAGCTCGCAGTTATGGCTGACGAGACAGTTGCAAGATCCTTATGTAGAGAAGGCTAAACAGGAAAATTATAGATGTAGAAGTGCGTACAAATTGTTAGAGATCAACGAAAGGTTTAAAATATTGCAACCAGGGCATATTGTAATCGATTGCGGCGCTGCTCCTGGTAGCTGGACACAGGTTGCTATTAAAGCGACGAATGCAAATGCTGTGGAAAAGGGTGATGTTGGGATTGTCATCGGGATAGACAAGCAGCCTTTGTATCCAATTGAAAATGCAACATTATTGAGTGGCATGGACTTCACTGCTGCAAAATCTCAGAATGAACTTTTAAAAATTCTAAATGGTAAGAAAGCTGATGTAATTTTGTCAGATATGGCGCCGAATGCAACTGGCGTGAGAGATTTGGATCATGAAAACATAATACAACTTGCATACAGTGCTTTGAAATTTGCCTTGCAAATTACTAAAGGAAACGGAGTGTTCGTTTGTAAGTTATGGGACGGTGGAAAGTCTCAACAATTTGAGAAAGACTTGACAAGATTTTACAAATACGTAAAATGCATAAGGCCGGAAGCAACGAGAGATGAATCTACAGAGAAGTTTCTCGTGGCTCGAGGATTCAAAGGGATAAAAAGTACATCCAGTAGTACAACGTAACATGCAGTTTCTTTAACAATTAAGTTATGTACAATAAAAAATGCTTAATGAGTAAAATGATGTGTAACGTAATCGCTCATCATGCCTGGACAGGTTGTAAATAATAACAAAGCATGATATTTTGTGGTACAGGACCAACATCGAGTGATTTTTATAAGCTGTTCCGTTCTGCGATCTAACAGCTCCTACACGACACGACACGACAATGTGTAATATACATCGATTATATTTAGTTATAAATAATACAATAATATTTTTATACAGTTACAATTAATACACGTTTAAGACGTTTCTTAATTATGCAATGTATATACAATTTTCTCTTAATAAAATTAATATGTACACGAATCAACATTCAAATACATGAGAAGGAGAGATTACACACCACATCGAAGCATACGTAGAGCAGTAAAAAAGAATTACTGGCCGCGATGTCAGATCCGTAATTTTCGTTTCGTTTCGTTTCGTTTCGTTTCGTTACGTGATGATCACACGTAATCAGGCATAATTATATTTCGTATAAAATCCAAATAGTATCCGATGGATATTATATGACGATAATAAACATTTTTTTCACACCGTAATTGCATGCACTCTACCGCATATTCTCGTACAAAAAGAGGTTATCGTACGCGTGAAATGTGAGAAAGGATTATCGCAATGACGGCCATAAAGCGTATAGACGACATCGGACAGATGATTCGATTCATACTCGAATTCGAGCATTATCTTCGGAACGTTGCGCTTGCATAGAATAATGATCAAATCGCACACCGAAAACATTCATACTACATAGATACGTGTTTTCGCTATACAATGTAGGTGTAAGCTTCAACTCAATTACGCTGGAGAGACATAAAGTGTTGCAATTTTCGTAGATTACATGCGCAACTGTTCGTTGTTTTTCCCTTACGTAAAGCATAAAAGTAATAAAATAAATATTTATCCGAAAGAAAGATTTTTGAATTTAATGCAATGTTTTCCTTTAATTAGCTTCCGGTCAATCGTATCTTGACACGTTTGCACGTTATAATATTTTTGATGTGCATTGATATATATATGTATATAATTTGGAATTTAAAAAATAACAAATTTAAGCTTTTTTTTTT